TAATATATTTCGACTGAGAAAGAAGATAACCTCTGGGTGAGCAGACTACCTCAATACCCAANTACTTAACCAAAAAAGCAGAATCATGACTACTAGAAGTAAACCCAAGAGAAGAGATCACAACAGAAAATTTCTCAAACCAAGCACGAGGTGCTTATTTGAGACTATATAACGCTTTCTTGAGCTTGCAAACATACACAGAATCATGTGAAACACTAGGAGGGGGAGCCATATAAACTTCTTCTTGAAGATCCCCATTCAAGAAGGCATTTTTAACATCAAGTTGAGAGATATGCCACTGACGAACCGAAGCAACTGCAATAAGAGTACGAATAGTAGTCATTTTTGCAACAGGAGCAAATGTCTCCTCATAATCCATACCATACTGTTGAGAGTACCATTTTGTAACCAACCTAGCTTTGTATCGCTCAACAGATCCATCAGAATTGGTCTTAATTTTATACACCCACCGACAATCAACAACACTCTTACCAGGAGGTAGAGGAACCAAGTTTACATCCACTACAATTAGAAATATCACAAGTTTTCAAATTTCCTAAAGCCCTTTGTGGATGCCAAAAATCTCAAACAAGAAGACGAAACATAACCTAAAAGAGAATGTCATAAATAAAAACTAGAAGAAGAACTCAAACAAAAAGAAGATAAATCAACACTAGTAGCAGCGGCAACAACTGACACTTTTAACTCATCCAAAATATATAGTCCCCCCTTCCTACGGTCTGTCCCAATCAGCTTCTGAGACTGCAGATCCTGCACATAACAAGAAGAAGAGGAAAAGGTGACTAAATTTCCAGAATCACATAACTGATCAACAGAAGCAAGATTTAATGTGAGTTTCGAAATATGATAAACATTAGAGAGAGACAAGTGAGGTGTGACAACAGAACCAACACCTGCTAAAGGCATAGGAGTGTCATTAGCAATCATAACAGGAATAGAAGGTGAAGGAAATACAAAAGCAAAAGATGAAGAATTTGGAGACATATGATGTGAGGCACCAGAATCCAAGACCCATATAGAATGTGACATACCTGGAGAACTATGAGGCAACTGACCTCCTGAAGNCCAGAATCCAAGACCCATATAGAATGTGACATACCTGGAGAACTATGAGGCAACTGACCTCCTGAAGAAGAAGCAGACATAGTTTGTGGCTATAAGGAGAGAAACTTCTGAAATTGCTCAGTCAAGGTACTGAAATCGGTGAAAGGACTTGATGAAACTACTGCTGCAGTATTAGACTGTGATGGTTTGTAACCCTGAGGTGGTCTATGAGTATTAGATTGTGACTGGTTGACAGACTTTCAAGCTTGAGATTGCTGCTGCGATTGATTCTGCTGTCTTAACTTAGGACATTGAGCATTTTAATGACCTTTTTGCTTACAGAAACTACACTTGTCGAAGGCAGATCTTGTGCAAGGCTTATTCTGATTATGAGAGAATGATTTAGAAGGTATTGCTAGCATAGAAGGATCAGAAGTAGAAAAAATTCTCTTATCAGAATAAGACTTAAGACGTATCTCTTCAGCAAACAACTCACTAACAACTGAGTCACCAGAAGAAAGTGGAGAACGATGCAAAATTGAACCTCTTAGTCCTTCAAAATCACTACGAAGTGTCATTCAAAACTGTACCAATTGTTGTTGCTCTCTACGAGCAATATAGGCACCACATGCTTTTAATTCAGTCGATTCTGTAAGAGCCAATTGATCCCAAAGATCTGTCATAGCAGAATAAAACTCTTGAATACTCATATTCTTCTGTTGAAGAGTTCGTATGTCATGCTACAATTGATAATGCTTTGCAAAATTTGATTGAGTGAATAACCTTTGCAGATGATCTCAAACCTCCTTTGATGTCTCATACTTTGCCAACTGCGTACCTATAGAATGCTTAACAGAATTGTTGATCAAAATAATAATTTTTGCATTGTCTACTTCCCAGACATCTATCAAATCAGCATAACCCACATCAGTATTCTTAGGTTTCATAGAAGTTCCACTAACATATCCCCATAGCTTTTTACCCTTAAGAAATTTCTCATCACATAACTCTAATACGAATAATTCTTTCCATCTAACCTCACACTCACAGACTGAAGCAAATCGTCTCTTGCAGTAGCCATAATCAACAAACAAAAAAAACCAGATTGCAAAAAAAAATGGAACAAATACCAGATTACAAAAACAAAACAAATACCAGATTACAAAAAATGGAACAAATACCAGATTGCTTAAACGAAACAAATACCTTCTCAAACTGTGTTTGAGATTAAGTCTTGTCCCATAAACCTTTGTTCTGATACCATGTTGAACAATCTAAAGAAATACAAGAGATAAGAAAAATAGGAGGTTAGAGTTTTATTGATACTGCATAATTGAATTGAAATACAATGAACTAACTTAACCTAAATACAAAAAGACTATATATAAGCTAAACAAGACAAGGAAAGTAAAAGATTATTCTATCTTTAATAAACAAAATAATCTTATATTTTTTAACAATACTAACCTTGAGGTTAGCAAGTATATTTATTTCATGAATTTACTCATTGGTAGAGCCGACGACGTAATTGAGCTGCGATCTTGTAACATAATTTCTAACTTCCGTGATTCCAATGAGGGAGTTGGAAATTTCTTCAACACTATGGCTTCTGCTGTCTTACAAACCAATTTTTTAATCCTTGATGACGTTTGTAATCGAATTGGAGAGCACTTCACTAGCAAGGCAAAAACTTGGATGGCTCTACTCCTACATGATCATTTTCGGTTCTCCGTGGGCTACTGTGGCTTTTTTAGCCGCAATGTTTCTTATTATCTTAACCTTCACGCAAA